GGATCAGGCAACTTGAAGGAAGCACTGCCCCTGATGACCAGCATATTGATGATTCTTTTGTAAGACAATTTGGCTTGTGGGTCGTCCACGGCAAGCTCAAACGGTCCCTCCATTTTCTCTGCAATGTGCTTCAGCATCAAACGGTCACCAGCAGGCAAGACTGCAACAAGGTCTCCTTGCACATTGGCTTTGATGACATCATTGAGGTTGCTCTTTGTGGTGAAGACCACGCCCCCTCGTGTTGGTGTCAGCTGCAGGCGGTGCGTCTGGGGCAATGGCTTCCCGTCAGATCCAATGAATGGTAGTGGAGGTCGAATCTGCAGATCCTCCCATTTGGCCTGCTGCGGCCGTGGAGGTTTAGGCTTCCATGGGTCCCAGGTGGACCAAGGGTCAGCAGAGTCTTTGGCTGGTGCAGCTGCTGCAGCACTTTTGGCACCACCGGCTGGGGCAGAGGTCTTGGCCTTCTTGCTGGGGCCCTCAATCATTGTGACATCATCATCTTGGGCACCGGCAGCAATGAACTCACTCGGAAACCGATTCTCAATGACCCGCAGCAAAAACCAATCACGTGTAGCTGCAGCAAAATGTCGCAATGTGGGATTGGCTGGACTCGCATCCCAAACAACTTGCGCCTCATCTTGCACGAGAGCGATTGACTGAGCCCATTGCGAGGTGGCTAATCTCTGTCGTTGGACCTCGCTCAGGGAGACTTGTCCAGCGTCAACTCGATTGAACAATTGCTGCAGGATATGATACCCACACATATTCTGAGGAGAGACCTGGTCCAAGAAGACAAAGCGCAATCGGGTGCGGTCTGTCTCAGTCACATGCACAAGATGGTCAAACAAAGCACGTAGCTGCTCACGCAAATTGGTTGGGACCGTGGCACTGAAATGCGCATCTCCACCAGAGAGGAAGTACTCAACCATGATCCAGTGATTTTGGACAACTATGGGCCAAATGATGTGCCCAAACGTAGCATACTCTGGAGTAAGGTCATTGATGAAGCTCAGCTGCCCTTGCTGAATAGACCACACAGCTGGTGCGCAGAATAACGTAGACAGCGACAACAGACGCGGACCTTCCAGTGTATAGTCCATCTCGTCAGTCCCAAGCCATCCACTAAATTCACGGAAATGATCCAAGCGCTGCTGCACTCGGTCAAGGCGATCCTGCTCAGGTGCGACAGGGGCCAATGTAGGCGTAAGCACTGTGACGGCCGAGCTACTGTTTGGATGACAGACCTGGAGCATTGGCTGTTGAGGTGGCCGGCCTTGAGCATGGCTCACAGCAAGCGTAGTGAGGAAGTTCTTCCGAAGTCGGTGGGCAAAGAGCTCAACCTCTCTAGTAATACCAGCAGTTCGCCAATCTTCAATGGAGCACTGTAACGCAACACAGACAGCATCAAACAAGTGCTGAGGCAAATGGAATTGCGCAGCAACATCATCAAGCTGATTGTGGTGCCCTCCTCGCGAGAACCACCGCATGAGCAAGTTCCAGCCACACAAGTGCGGCTGATAGTGCTCAGGAGTAGCATGCATTGTAATGCGATCAGGTGTGATGTCCATCAATCTCGCCAAAATAGCAAGAATTGGCTGATGAAAGTCAGAGTGAATCTGCACCAAAGTCACAGTGGTCACTTCTCCTTGTTTGGTGATCTCTGCAGCACCCCAATGTGAGCGCACAAGAATCGGCAGCAAAGTAACAGCATTGTTGTAGATGATCGGATCACCAAAGTATGCATCATCAAAGTGGTCCTTGGAGATGTCCCACATGACCGGTGGTGAAGCTCGAATGCCCGCTCCCATCCACATGAGAGTTTGCGTATGGGCATAGATTTCATCTGAAGCTGCCCATCCATGTGTATTGGTCATGAACTCGATTCTGGCTTCGAAGTCAGATCCCTGACGAAGGATAGGTGGTGGTCCAATGAATTGATGATGCCCGCCAGCAACAACAACCTGCTTTGGGACACAACACAAGAAATCACCTCGGGTAAGCATGGTGCAGTGTTGAACATGCTGCCCGTTGACCTGCTGAATAGCCAATGGAATACCATCGAACTCAATTGCTCCAGAGCTGTTGATGTGCGAAGAGATCTCAAGGATCTTGACCGTTCCAAAGAAATTGTCCTTGCAAAAGGTCACAACAGTTGTATATCCTGCTGGAGAGGATGGGTTCAAGATTGCAACGACAACACCTTTGCTCTGAGAAAGTGTGCTTGTGCGGCCTCGAAAAGCATCCTGAATCTGTTGTACACACCGCTGCTGATCTTGGGCAGTGCAATGAATGGCAATTGCAATTTGAGCAGATTGTTCAACCACAATGACTTCGCATGCACGTGCAACCGCATCATCTTGCAGTGTTTCGATGATGGGCTGCACAACCCGAAAGAGGTTGCTGCCAACAAACTGCTCCCACGAAGGATCATGGCTATCACCTTCAATAGCTTTGGCGTCGAGCTCATAAGGCAAAGTTGGTGAGATGTCGATGACCTCAGTGCTCACACGAGGGGGTGTGTCGAACGTGAGGTGACATTGGCCGACGGCGCAATAGTGTGCATAAATCTGCCAATCTGACTCAGCATGAGCAAGGACTTCAATGGATTGGCCACTATGGCTCTTGACATCATGATTGACAAGCTGGAACTGCGAGACGAGGTCATGTGGGCCCTGGAAAATGGCACGAAAGATGTCTGACCCTCGAGTGGCGAGGGGAATCCGTTGCTCAAATGTGACATCACCAACCTTTCCACAACATTTCACGTGGCGGACAGGACATGCTTGCTCTGGCACCGGACACAACCACGGGCGAAGGCTGTCCTTGAGGACAATGTGCACATAGTCACCTTGCTGAAAGGTAACAGAGTTCCATGCCGTGATTCGGTCAGCCCATGCCTGGCGCAAGAGCTTCAACGGGTCGATGGGATCCCCTGTGAGAGAAAGGAATCCAATGGTTAGGGCAAGCACGCTCTGTGGGACCGTGATCGCGTTCCCCACAACTTGGAAAGTGGCTTGAAGCTTCGTGGGGAGGACCTGATGTTCCACCGCCCCAAACATGGAAACGAACATCCCCGGAGGAAAGAAACGAAATCCATCGGAAGTATGCTGGAGGACGGCAAATATGCCTTTGTTCTGCAAATGACCCTCACTAAGAAGATGCTGGCGCGAATACGAAGCGCACAGAGTCGGCATGGGGTCGGAGGAGTCCAGAACTCTGGACCAGAGACCTTTGTTCTCATGTGGAGGCCCTGGGTTGGCGACCTTGGCTCGTTTCGCTTGTGGGAGAAGGTCCTCCCGGTTGTAAAACTCACATTCGGATGGGCTCAATCGAAGCTGGTCAGACCAAATCTGGGGAACCCTGAGTTCATGACCCTGGTGGTCCCAAGGAAGGCGTGGGACAATAGTCGGTTTGAGGGTGAAAGCGAAAGCTTGACATCGGTGATCTGCACGAATCCACACACCAAGCCAGCGTGTTCGATAGTGACCAACGACAGCATGGTACGGGGTGGCTTGAGTCCACACTAGCTTGAAACCAAGGCTTTGAGCCAAGGCTTGCAGAAGTGGCCAATGCGGGTGATTTACCAGCTCATCGGCGCACTCAGCCGCTATAAAATTTGGCTGACAAGCTGCAGCTGTACACAAAGCATGGACAAAGGAGTACCCATTGACATCGTAGAGCCCAGTACTCTTGCCACCTCGGCTCCAGCTCTGACATGGTGGGCTCATCGTCAAAACCAAATTCAATTGGGCCCTCAACACATTCAGGAGGGTGTAGTCCTCAACACCCCCACAAATACCCACACACTCCGAGGGAGTCCAAGCAGTCCGAAATGAGATCGGAGCTCGCAAAACTTGTGCGCCATGCTTCACCGACCACAATTGCATCACGGTGTCATCGTGGTCCACTGCAAGCTCCTGGCCTTTGAGGACGAAAGGCTGTGTCCTGCTGAGCCAATTGAGCGCTTGGCCCCACCCTGCGAACGATCCAGCATAAAAATGCAATGCCGACCATGGCATCTCCAGAAGAAGCTCCGGGCGGAAGGAAATCGCAGCATTTTCAAACCATGCCTCCTTCATGTCTTTGAGGCGGCGCAAATTGCCTGCGCAGACAATCTGAACCCCTTTGACCAGGTGAATGGAGCGAACTGCAATATCCTGGACATGCAATCGCACCAAGCCGTCATCATCACCATTCGACACGAAGCCCTCACCAGGCACAAATCGATACATGGCAGCGTCAATCCAGTGTTGTCCAATCTCAAGAACATCACCAGTGCAGCAATGAAAGTCACCAAAGCAAGGAAACATCGTCGGTGACTGCAGCCCAGCAAACAGGGATCGCATCCGGGATTTCAATGGGTCCTCCAGAATCTGGTCAACAAGGCCCATCACATGTTCCAAAGCCATGGCAGCACCTACCTAAAACGAGCCACACCTACACAAAAGTGTCACAGGTGCAAAGGCTGGTCGTCCGGAGAGACAACCTTGTCGACACCACCCCCACCTTGGGAGGTGGCCAGTGGCCCTTGGGAGCCGTATCCCTAAGCCTTCCGGTTTTGGGCCGTGGCGGCTCCATACAATCCCATACATACTGCAGGACCTCAGGACCTGTGTCTCATCCTGTCTCACCCTCGTCCTTTCTGCCAGAACGAACACTCCAGACCACCCCGGCTCCCGCCACTCTTGGAACGGCTCTCTTGCTGTGCGGAGAGACCCTGCGGCCGTCGCGAAGATCCCCCGAAACCTGGTCGCGGGTGTTCCGGGGGAGTTCGGCAACGCGCCGCGCGTCCAAAGCTTTTGCACTTCCAATGGCGAGGTGATCCTGTTTGATCTGATCCTGTTTGGTGGGGAGTCGTAGGGCTGGTTTTGTTGGTGACCCGGAACCGTGGCGCAGGTCGTAGACTCTTGATGAATCGAAAAGAGACACACATGGCATTGGAAACACCTCTGAACAGCCCTGGGGGGCTTCAAAGAGTCTACAGGTTTTCACGCGCCCAGGCTGCCACCGGTTTGCCCAACATTTTGCCCGAGAACGGCCAGGCCACGTCAGGGAGTGGCTGCCGGTTTTGCCTGCACGGATGCACGGGGGCGTGAAGGGTTTTGCCTGGTCTTGAGGTGCGAGGAGAATCGGTTTTCCAAACAGTTTCACCCAAAGGCTCAGGTGGCAGGACCCAACCAGTTCGGTCCGGGTGAAATGACCCGAAACCAACCAGGGTGAACTGGATCGAAACCACCATGTAGCACTTGCTTGGGGTCCATGAGCCTTTGGGCAATCCATTTTCCGTGAAGTACCAGGCCAAAACTGTAAAGTTTGGCAGGCCGGAGATTCTGAGGGAGGATCTATGCAGCTCCCTAGAGCGTCATAGATTCCACCTTCAAAGCGATTTGCACAAGAGATGATACTATATATATATGGGTCCTCCTGGTAAGCGAATTGGATGCGACTGGCCCCAGACGATCCATCGAAAGGTTGCAGACGTTACCCCATTTATGACCCATCCATCGCGTTTGGCCTCCAGTCGTACCGAACCGTTTCGAAGGGGGGACTGGGGTGGGTGGTTTAGGAGGGTCCAGTCATACCGAACCGTTTCGGAGGTACAACTGGAAGTCTAGGGTAATGTACTATTCCATACATGGATGGTCTGTGGAAGATCGCCTTCTTGGATCCCACATCGTTTGGGCCATGACCATGTGACGGAGTGCACCCTTCTTGCGGCAGGAAACACTTCATCAACTCATCCCAAACCCTTCCTCCCTAGAAGGGATGGCATCCAACCTAGTAGCGATGGCCTCCAACCTACTAGCGATGGCCTCCCGCGCTTCAGGCGCCCAGCCTGATGAACGGCAACAGCCTCAACCCCATCTTTGACGTGGTCCTCGTGACCAGCCGGGTTCTCCCGGTCCAGCGATCGGACGCAAACGGGTGGGGGTTTGTCCACCGAACATCAACTCCATCTTGTGCTATTTAATCAGCTCATGAGTCAATGTGCTTCAAAAAATCTAGAGTGTTTCTTCCTGGGGCACCAACTGAGTCAGTTCGTTCAGGGTTTCAACTGGTTGGAGTGCTACCGCGTCTCATTTGAGAAGACGCGGCCTAGCCTGCCCCAAGCGATTGAAGTTCTTGCTGTTATTTGGGACTGTGACATTTCTTTGGGCTTTGATTTAGCTCAACCGCAAGCGACTGTGTCCTTGAACCACACAGACTTATGAAGATGGAAATTGCATGTTTACGTACACTATGACTTGACCGTCCAGCAATGCTGTCTAAGACATTGCACTCTAAATTCTGTGAAGGGCTGTTTTGCTTCAACGGAAGGGATTTTTTGGGTCCATGCCTTCTTCGACGTCGACCGCACGTCTTTTGCTCTCCTTTTCTTTTCCGCGCCAGTCGACCGGACCTGGTCTTCCGTCCCCTCCGATCCGACTCCCAACTCCTTCCAACTGCACCGGAACTGCCGGCGCCCAGTCGACCGGTTGAGGCGCCGTGGGCTTGAGTGCCTTGGCGCTGGAGGCGCGCGGAGGTCGAGTCGTGGATGCCGGGGCGAAGAAGAGTCAAAAAGGTGCGGGACGCGAAGGGATGGTGTTAGAGATCCCGGATTATAAGCAAATATGGCCCAAATTGGGGGGTTTGGAGTGGTGAATTTGTGGTACCGCTGAATATTGTTTTAGCATTCTTAATTTGGCTTTCATGGATGTGATTGGCGTTCAGATGGTGTTCACTGCAGGTCGTTGATGGCGAAAGTATGCGGTCGGGACTCTGGGAAGGGACCCATCCCGACCAGAAATGCAACACCTCAAAGCATGGTTCCAAGGTAAACCAGTCCACGAGCCACTCGAAGCGGGTGGTGCTGGTACAGTCACAGTCATCCTTTTTGATATGCTTTGAACCACTCACATGCATCCTTCCACCTCCTTCCCATACATCCTTCCACATCCTCACCAGGCCACGTCCAAGAACCACTCCGTCGAGGACCGGAGTCCGGGAAAAGGGCAAGATGCCGGAGTCCGGTCCGGAGGAAGGGTTCATTGTGTTCCCCCAAGTCGCCTGAGTGACCTCGATGCACCGCAAGAAGGCACCCCAGTCCATTAGGCCAGGTCCCCGACACGTTTGGTGGGACTGCCAGTCCGGACTGCCGAGAAAAAGCCAGGGGTGGTTTGGGGGGTCAATGTATATTTCATTCATGGAGTGTCTGGGATATAGTCCTATACTATAGAATCTATCAAGACAGGGCTGATGTCGGGTCTCCAGCAGTGTGCGGTACCCTGACAGTGCCGTGCCAGTGACTGGGTCAAGACTTCGTCGACGAAGACCCAGGGAAAATGGTGAAATCCCAAGCACTCTATGATCTCTATGTATGTCATTTAGGGGGGTTCAGGGGTCAATGAGTGGGTCAATAATATACCTGGACCCTCCAATTCAAAGTACCTTAGAAAATGGGACATGATCTCATAAAAACAGGTACTTTTTTACCCATTTTCCGAAGTACTTTGAGACTCCAGGTAATTATGTAAATATTACATACCAGGACCCTCCAACAGGTCACCACCTGCAACTTTGAAGTCTGCAAGATTCACCAGAGGAGACCTGTTGGAGGGTGCTGGCATACATGAAGTGTGTTGAATTTAGATGCAATTCAAAACAAATGCATTCAGGAGACAAAGACTTGGGCGACGAAATCGATCACATGAATCAGTTTGATCTAAGAAGAGTCCAGTCACTGAAAGGCAATGTAGATGTTAATCAGGCACACGGGATTGAAGGTCACTGGTTTTGCTGTTTCTCGTTCAGTTCTTGCTTCAGCTTTCTTGTCAAGTCTTCTCTCGGGCAAAACTCTTGTCAGCCCACTTAATCAAAGAAACAATGCCCAACATGCTCAGACATTCCAGTGTGCAACGGAATGGACCTTTGGCCAATTCGAGCCATCCGCACGTGGGGTCCATGATGGGTCCTCTTAAGTGAAATCTCAGCAGATTGCAGAAGAAAGTCATATTATGACCATCAAACATCTGAACATATCTGAGCATTTCTGTGAAGAGATTTCATCAAGTGGGAGACTCAGAACAGTTTTTGCTGCAAAGTGGGACTATGTGGGAATATTCTATATAGTGAATAGTGGGACACATTGGGACACTCTTTTCACCTTAATTGTTCTCTTCAGCTGAGCAACTCAGCTGGCTTGGGCCGTTCCAGGAAATCGACCAGCTGCGCATGCCCCGACTTTCACCCATGCTGAAGTCGGCCTTGCGTGAGGCGTGGTGTCGCGCGGCCTCACGGCGACACCTCCGTGAACGGCTCGTGTACTTGGGAGTCTACGAACGGTGGCGTTTTCGGGATATTGTTGTGTTCAACCTTTACTTGGGATGATTGACCCCACAGACTGATAGGACTTCAAGTGAGGTGAAATCACCAACCAGTCATAACCAGTTTACTATTTTAGATTCTTTCCACAGGGGATCTTCTCGGGACACGTGCAGCACACAAAAATGAGTGAAAACACAAAACATTTTTTACAGGTTTCCGTACCAGAAAGAAGGGACGAGTCGAGCGCATTCGGAAGCGCGCTCTTTCCCCCGGTAGTCAACTAGTATCGACTATACCTGGAGTCTCAGTTCGTACCTCGGAAAATGGGTACAGTCGTACCTGTTTTTATGGATTCATGTCCCATTTTCTAAGGTACTTTGGAGGGTCCAGGCACAGGAGATGTACTTCGGTGATATCACCAGACTTCTGCGCAGATGTCGTTTTGTTTCTCTTGTTTTGGCATCGACTGGATGGACCCGCTTTGTGGGTCGTCAGCACCATTTTCAGGGCTTGGACGCCATACTGGTGGACAACGGGAAGGAAGAAACCACCGGTGTTCCGGTGTCAAAGGTACGTCACCCAAACGGTCCATTGTTGCACAAAGATGACTTCGATGATGGGTGGTTTTTTGGTGTTGCATGTATAGGTAATATAATATTCCATAAGTATATTCCATGTATGTAATATTTGCCTACATTGGGGTGGTGGTGCCAGGGGGATCAATGGGGCGGCAAATATAGCAGTCCCTAAACACGTGTCGTGTTTGGGTAATCCATGTAGTTGGATCATGTTATGTGTTTTCCGTTTTGATAGGAACAAGTGCATCGCTACTAGTAACAAGTGCCACGCATTAGTAACAAGAAGCTATTAAGTTTAATTCTAATTCTACTAGCGTGGCACTTGTTACTACTAGCTATTTGTTCTTTGTTGATGTGTTCGATCTCCAAGGGTCCAGGGTCATTGTGTGGGCCCAAAACGTCTGGAATTCCGAGACCGGAGCGGCCGGCTAGGCGCAAGTCTTCAATGGACGGGTGGCCATGGTGGTGGCCTTAGAGACATGTGATGACCACGACACGCGACGGTCAGGTCGTGAACATCGTTTGTGAGTCTTTTGCATGATTTTGCATGGTTTGTTGAGGAAGAAACATCGTCAAGGACCTTCAAGGGCCTATGTTCAGGGTCAGCTCTTGTTTTTCATGACAATGTTGTAAGCCCCAAAACGGGCCACCAATCATCATATTCAGGGGAAGTGCCTCCTGTACTTGCTCACTTTCCTTACAGGCTCAGTGCAAAGCCATGTAAGAAGCCGGGCCCTCGACAAGCTGTGAGTTGCCCGTGGAGGGTCACTGCCGCATGCACATGCAGGAAAACGCCACCACGCAGGGGAGTTGTGACAAGGAGCCGAGAACCAATTCCTGGTCGACCCGGAGTTGGTTCGTCCTTCGAATCGGCTTCGAATCGGCGGTTTCACCGAGCTTGCGCCCTCCTCCGCCTCGGTGGCGGCTCGGCCGAGGTGGCCATTATGGCGATCGCAGTGCAGGAGGCCATGACTGGACAGGCAGGGCCGGGCAGGGCCGGCAGGCGGACGTACCGTGGTGGTTTTCACCCGCTGGCCGCTGAGTTGGGAGGAACTGGGATGCCTGGCGCGGCTGGAGCGGAGTTCTGGACTTTTGTGACCTTTGGGCGGTTGCAGATGGTCGCGGATGTCTCTTCGGGATGTTGGTGGTCGGGTTCTGATGACGTGGCTTTCAGAAGGATCTCTGGTCTTAGTGGTTGAAACTGCAAGCCACCCATCACTCTGTACATCTCTGTATTCTCAAATCCAAGCTCCATCAAGCTCCTCCCCGTGGTGCTTCCGGTTGAAGATGCCGGCATGTGTTTGAGTTGCAACGCGAGTCGGAGTGAAGACCCATACAGACACGACATGGGACTGCCATATATTATATATATATGCCGCCCCATTGACACCCCTGGCACCACCTCAATTGATCGGTCCGGACTGGCAGTCCCATGGGTCGTGTCTGGGTATAGACACGACTGGCCGGACTGATGTTGGTATGCCCCAGGTCATCGACCAATAGGTCAGTCCCACCGGTTGGGTTTGTGATGTGGAAAGCTCCTTGGATTTCTTGAGGTAACAAGGGCATCGCTATTCGTTTATTGGTAACAGGGGCAGCTATATAGTAAGCAAGAAGCTTCTAGGGTGGAGGCCGGCCATCGCCAGTGGGTTGGAGGCCATTACTACTAGCAAGAAGCTACCAGCAACATGGTTGTATCTCGTCGGCGGGTTTGGTCCGTTGTGACATCCGGGGCGACCTCTTCGCAGGCTTTTCCACCGAAGACCGACCTCACATGGAGGTCTGTAGCGTTCCTACCCCTGTTCGTACTGAAAAGTCTTCTTCCATGAGGCCATACCATCCACTGGCGGGTTAGTGGCGATTTTTGCTTTGAAGGGACAGGAAGCATATTGTCATGTATATAATATTTGAATATTTTTTGATATTATTGGTTTTCTATTGGGGGAGTGGGGAACGGAATTACGAGAGGGGCACGGCTCGTATCTGCGGCCTCGGAAGTTCCACCGTCGGAGGTCACGACGGTCACGTCCGACTTCCGATCGCAGGCCACCGTGAACATCACTCCATTCCTTTTCGCACGATGACGCAGCTGAACAAGCTGAGAAAGGAAGCGGTCTTTCGTGGCATTTGTAGCTGGGTGGACTGGTGTTGGTGTAGGGGCATGGAGAATACGGTCGAATAAAACAGGAAACCCATGGTAAGCCAATCCCAGACAATCCACGCGACTGGAACATTTGCATACATGGATGGGTCATTGTAGGTTGGGGAATTGATTTAGATCCAGTGGCTTAGCTGTTGAACCTGTTGCTGGTCTGGGATGACTTCATGTTTTTCCAGGTGCCCAGGTCTACTTCCACCAACTGACCGTAACTGGCTCAGCTCAGACGTCATTGTTGGTGTCACCCTGGGTAGAATGGCCCAGTTCGTTATGGGGTTCTCCAGTTCGTTTGTGTCCATCATCCAGTCCTTCACGAGAGAAGGTGCCTTGAAAAATGGTAGGGATTTCATACTCAAACAGGCATTTGTTCTGCCAGCCCCCCCAGCTATTTGCCAAGACCGCATTTCACAGGGAAAACACTTCGTCGGAGACACCCGTAGGTGTTTTTCTGAAGTCATATTGCTTGCCATTGCCAACAGTGCAGATCGCATCTTCAAGCTCGGAGAGTGGGACATTCTTGGCTGCAGGGGAGTGTTTCCTCTGCTGCTTTTGCGCTCCTTTTTAAAACCTCCAGAGCCAGACAGATGCCCTTCCCTTCCCTCAGATGCCCGACACTGCACGACTGGATGACTGCATGTTCTTCTTTCGGCAAACCAATCAATGACAGTGTTGCCAGGAAGGCTGAAAACCCGCTCCCAAACAGTTGCTCATTGGCTTCATCCCGTATCTGCAACAAGGAAGCCCTGGAAATATCCTGGCAAGAACCCAGCTCTTTTGTTTGAGGCATGCTTCGTTGTATGGATTGGCTCAACTCAAAAATCAGCCATCCAAGTGAAGTCTCAACGGAAGTATCGCCACAAATTGGGACTGTAACTCCACAGCTTTGATACAGAACTATAGGTACAGCTGTGGAAATGGTTAACAACAATCACACCATTTTTGTTGAGAAGAGGTGGTACATGGTGAACGGAGAGTTCAGCTCAGCCAGCATGCCGCGCGCCGCATGCCATCATTTTGGGGTAGATGATCCGTATAGTCACTGCAGAAGTCTTGTGTTCGTTGGCCAGGGACATCCGCTTGAGAACACAGATCGCTTTGAACCAGTTTGCTGATCCTGCAGGGGACAGCTACACAGAACCAGATCGCTTCGGAATCAACCTCTCCAAGGAGTACATACTTGACATATTTTGACCAAACAGTCTGGGTTGTCCTATCAATACGGCATGATAATGATTGTTATTGTTAAACAATCACTTACTAATTATCATCACCCACTGTTACTGGCAATAGGATAGACCCAACATGTATCCATAGAGAAACAACAGGAACAAAGTAGGTCAGAGCCTTTGCTTATCAACTGGGCATGATACTTTCTTTAACTAGAAGAAAGATAGGCATGGACAGCTAGTCCCTCACGCTTTGAAGATTCTATGCTACGAGTCTTTTGCTTGCTGATACCGGTCTCGGCATGAAACTCAGGTGCACCGAGCGAAGGACATCTAAATTGTTTTGATTCATGGGCACCCACCAGAGTCACCACAGGAAAACAGTGAATAACATCGGGCGAAGAAACATTTTCAGGTTTGGGAACATGGTCATGCCAACTTCAGGAGTGCTTTGAGCATGTGCTTTCACATGCCTGTGCGAGAGGCGTCTGACATCCAAAGCATTGGACCTTCCGCTTTTTACATCCTTGGCAGTGGGGAACCTGGCGACCGACTGTCGCCCATAGGGTTCAGGTCCACTGGTATTGGGGTGGCACCCTTTCCTAGGTTGGACTGTGAGACGGCTAGACTCTTAGACTCTGTTGAGAATGCCGAGGGCCTTTCGCAGGCTCCTGGACCATCGGAGCAAGGTTCCAGGCTGACCAGGATGTGGTACTGAAACACCCTTCGGTTGATGTCCCAAGTAGACCACCGAGGCACGAGCTGTCCCATATAGCCGATCCAAACAGGGATCGGCGGATCGGCGATTTGGACGGTTTTTGGTTGTATGTTTTTACATCGGCTGGGTTTAGGCTTATCTGCCTTGTTCAGGTTCATTGTTACATACTTTTTCCCTACTGGTCACGTGTGAACAAAAAGGAAAAAAACACTCCCAGGTGGGTCTTGTTTTGCTTCCCTACTGTCATGGATTGGAGGGACTCGCGTTTCTCGACACTCTGACAGAATCCGAGTCGACACTCTGGGGAAACCAAGGGACGAGTCATATACAAACCGAGCATGGTTAAGAGCCGTAAAAATAAGAGAGCGGGTGTGCTTGGGAGAGCACACACTAGCTCAAAACCTGTAAATCCCGTGCAAAATTACGTTGGGTTTGTCCCAGTAAGCCTGGAAAGAGCCGTGGGGATAGACCCGATCACAAATGCATCCGATGCATCCTCGTATTGGCACGTGGTCACCGATCTTACCCTCGTTTTATAGCCATATCCCAACAGCATATGTTAACTGTTAACTATAATACATTAATTCTATTCATATAATATCATGAATATTCTGATTGTTCGTGTGCTAGCTGGGAGCGACAGCTCCGTATCATATTCCCCTTTTTCATGAGGGAGCTGTTTCGCTCGGAGTGACCACAGGAGTTCCGCAACCTTTTGCTAGTATAGGGAGTTGTGCATGTTCCTTGAAAAGCAACTTTGACATATTTAAACTTGATGATTGCAAGCACGCACACTCACAAAACACAGTCAACAGCAACAACAACAACAATAGCAACAGCCACAGCCACAACCACAACCACAGCCGACCACCAACCACCAACAAACGTCAATCAACAAACAATACAACACCAGCAACAGCAACAACAGCAACAGCAACAGCAGCAACAGACAACAACAAGCATAACAAACAAACACACAC